TAAAAACACACAGAAAAAAAATCCCTTCTGTTTATGAGTTGTTCGTCACCCAAAAAGAAAAAAAGCAAGAAAACCCTTACCTTCCCTGTCGGTAGAAGTTCACCCTCGTCGCTCGGAATCAAAACCACCTTGAGTCACCCAAGGTAACTCCTTTCGACCTTAGATCTATGATTGTTTTAGGGACTTAGGAGGTCTCGTTGGGGTTTATGTTTGGTTATGAGGTTAGGGTTACGAGAAAGGAAAATGTGAGGGTTATTTGAGGGTTCAATTCCTCATCGAAGCCTTATGAGGGGCAACATACGGTGGTCGTGGGTTTGGCTTAGGGAGGGCTCGAGTTTCTGTTAGATACTAGGTCATGGGTTTGTTTTTTAGAGGCTTAGAGAATAGGTGGGGTCACTTGACCTTTCATCGGAGTAGTTTTGAGGTGGCAGCCACGACAACTTCCACAATTGGGGTATGAGAGCAGAAGTGAAGAGGGCTGAGTGAGGGGGAGAGAAGTTGAGAGAAACGGATGGGAAAGGTTTTAGACTGATGAGGATAAAATGAACTATGTTAAAAACTTACCCTAGATATCCTATGTATGGGTACACCAAAAACGGCGTCGGTTGAAGGATTTGTGAAACGACCTCGTATTGGGAGGCTAGGACCGTCCGTGTTCTATTGGGTGCATATATTTGTGTGAGAGGCCCTTGTATCTTCAACCCATCGTATTGTAGTCCTTAAATCAAGCCTTATTTGACTTTTAATTTTATCTCTTAATTTTTTGCGTATCTCATTTAAGTCTAATATCATGTTATGCTTATTTTCACGATGGTTTTACGTTTGGTATGTAATTTGGGAAACTTTTATTTTAATCCTGTGTATATCTTTGGTTATGTTGCATTTGCGGTACGTGGAAATGAAGATTTTTACACATGGTAGCATGATGTTTACTTTCTTTATGTTTTTAACCTTACATATGTTCTTTTTATATTTTAGCCCCTTGTTTAAGATTTTATGCATGTATGTAGGGTTAGTTTAGGTTAGTTTCGAATGCATGCTAATCATGTGTTTGAATGAGTATGATATGTATGCATGCATATATTTATTTCAAGCATATTGTTCATACGCATAGATTTAGGCGAGATTGAAATGGATGTATGATACCCTTACGCGTATAACTCGATTCATAATTACCTAATGGGATTAAGGGTAATACACTTTTAATTTAAAATTGTTTTGAGTGGCTTGTCTTAACTTATTAGAGAGCCACTTTCTACGATTTTAAATTGAAAGTGTATCCCAACAGTAAAACCTAAAAAAATGATTTGTCACTTAAAATTTAGGAACAAAAGAGAAAGACATGTTCGATTATTTAAATTTTTCGAGAAAAGATTGTTAGAACTTATCTAAGATTTGATCTCGATATTTTTAAATAATCGAATATTATTTTTTTTTAAAAAAAGGATTGATAATTTTTAATTTAATCTATTTTGGTGCATTTGAATATTTTAATGAAAATGTAATATTTCTTTATTTCGATTGTAGTAAGAATTGAGTTCTTCAAGGTATGAGGGGTTTGTTTCTTCTCGATAAGAAATAATTAAATATTATTTTATTTCATTTTAAAATTCACATTTTGGTTGTTTTATGGGATAAAAAATCAAATTAAATTTGAACTTGTAAATTTCATTGCAAATATATTAATTAATCGACTAGGTATCGATTTAGGGCGCTGTGGGGGTGCTGCTAATCCTTCCCCACGCGTAACCGACTCCCGAACTCGATTTTGATAATGCATACCTCAATTTTTTGTTTTAATTAAAATTAATTTTTATTTAAAATGACAAAACATTTTTTGGGTTTCTAATCACACCCTAATCAAAGATTGGTGGCGACTCCTCGAACCGTACGATTTTCTATTTTAAAGGGAATCCCAAAATTTTCAAAACGAGAGGTTTTTTAAATAACATTCACTTTTAATTAAAAATCAATCCAAAGAAATAAACTAAAAATGGTGTGTTTTTTAAAATCCCTTCTCACACTTAAGAAAAAAATCGTTTCGATAGCTTGGCGACTTCGCTGGGGACTCTTTTGTAGAGAGTCAGGCTGATAGTCGATTAATTAATTGTCTTTGAAATTGAAAGTTATAAATTCGTTCTAATTTAATTTTTGATCCCTTGTTTGGTTTTTTATATATATTTTTTGTTTATAATTTGATTAATTGCTAAATAGTTGTATTGATCTGTTTGCTAATGGTTTCAGATTAATTGTGTGTTTTAAAAGGATTTAGGATTTGATTTGAGTGTTTTGTGATTGTGTGTTTTTCACTTTTCCTCACACACTGCACAGTTGCATTATCATAACATGAGCTAAAACCCCGCTCTGTCTATTTAAGTAGGAGCGAGAAACTATTCCCTCGTGTGGTTTTCACCTCCGCATGGGATAGTGAATCGCTCCTAGAGCTCACGCCTTATGGTCCTCGTGATGGTATCCACCTCCGCATGGACATAAGGAGGTGTGTTCTCTTGAATTGAACTCAATCCCCAAAAGCCTATGATAGGCCAGGATTAAGGGTTCGACAGCCTAAAAGGGCACCAACAAGGACAATTCGAGAACCTATGACTTTAGAACCAAACCCAACATATAGTGAACACAGATCCCAAACTTAAGTTGAACCTAACACGAACCTTAAGAGTCCTGTGAGGAGGGTACACAAGGAATAGCTTTTTGAGTCATTTAATTTCGCTTTCTGAATAAATGTATGTGAACTAGAGATCATGTAGTTAGGTTAATTTTTCTCAAATAAGCATGTGAATTAGATATCATACAGTTAGGATTTTTTTTTTCAAACAAAGCATGGGGGTAGATATCATGTTGGGTAGGATCTGATAAAACATGATTGGGTAGCCATCATATGAGGGTAGGATTCCTTAACTAATTTTTATCCCTGATTAATTTCTTTATGTTTACTAACTGATTTTCTTTTGTCTTTTCTTTATTTCATTTTTGCATTGCACTATCCATTACAAGGTGTTGATTAGTGATCGATGTCCATATAGAAGGCTAGTAATATGGAACGAAAGGTTCAGAAAGAGGTTGAAGACAATGCAATTATTCTGAGATGGTCTGAACAATCCCAGCTGACCAATGAAGATAGTTTGATGCCTGGATACATGTCAGAGTTGTTTGGTTACACTCACATCAATGTACGTCAGAACGATTTGAGCGAGCTAAAGAAAGTCTGGGGAAGATGGGAAGCAGTCAATAAACAGATGTTTTATCAGTTGTATGACGATATCTCCTATCTTCTGGATGTTCCAATTGACCAAACCTGTTTAGAGCTCTTGCGTAATTCTGGAATCCTTCTTATAGTTGCTTTACATTTGGAAGAATGGATCTGACACCTACTATAGAGGAGTATCGAGGTTTGATCCGTTGTCTGAGGTCTCAAATGGAAAGAATATATACCAAACTGCCAATCACTCATTCATTCAAGAAGAAATTGCTTCTGATGACTGGAATGAGCGAAAAGTGGGTTGTTAGAAACATCAAGAAGAAAGAACATTATGAGTACATCTTTTGGACTGCTCTGAAGGAAGTAATTGATCGTCATCCAAACAAAAGGAAGAAGCTTGACTTGTTCGCTCTAGGGATTTTTGGGCTTTTATTTTTTCGAAAGTGTTGGGATATATAGACGTATCAATGGTCGACCTTTTAGAGAGATTAGACAAACATGTGGATCTTGTTCCATTCATTCTAGCCGATACATTTCGTTCTTTGATTTCTTCTAGAAGATAATAAGAATGATGCTTTATAGGGTGTGCGCCCCTACTGCTAGTATGGACTCTTCAAGCATGTTGAAAGAGCAATAGGACGAGTGTTTCTGGATGGGTTTTCGCCTTTGGAACATTTTCTTTCCAGAGAATGACTTGGGGGTTTCATTGAAGAGAAATTGATGGTTATTTTAAAGGACATTAGAGATGGTGAATTATTGTGGAGAGCATCGTGGAATATCTCTTCAGATATACTTTACAGATGTGGAGAGCGAGACTAGGTTCCTTTGCCAGGTATCTGGGGTTCTGTAGGGTATGCATTTATGCTAGTGTTTTAGACAATATGGGTCAAGGCAATTCATTCCAGCAGCATGGGATTTGTCAGGGTCAGAGTTTCCATTCAAAGGGGTTGTTGATGCATGAAAACAAACTCGTCGTGTGAATCTCTTCACCTTTGATCTCGAGCTATCTCAGGAGTACGAAAAATGGAGAAGTAATCAAGTAAATGATAATATCCCGATAGTTAATCCTGAAAATATTCAGCCTATGTAAGAACATCTTAGAGTGGTGCCATCTCTGTTAGAGCTAGCTAAGTGTAACTTCGAGGCAGAAAGGAAACAATAGAGAGTAACTTTGTAAAAGTTAGAGGATGAAGTATATAAAAAAGAGCTGAAGATTGATATTCATAAGGGTCAAGTGGATCAAATCGAAAAAGTGGAGAAGCAACTTCGGTTAGACTTTGACGATATTCAATTATCTTATTAGCGAATGGTGAAAGCTCAGACAACTTCCAGTTCCAGTAAATTACCTGTTGAATGGAGACAAGAAGTGGCAAGCCTAAATAGAAAAGTCGGAGAAAGTAAAGAAGAGCTCAAGCAAATTAGGCATCAAGTAAAGATTTTATCGAAAGAAAAGAGTTCTTTGGAGCAACGATTACAAGAGAATATAAGGAAGATGCAAGAAGACATGTTGAATTCTCAGAAAGAAATGTTTGCTAAGTTTGCAAGTCTTCTTGAAGGACCACTTTACCCCCAAGGTTCACCCCAACGCAATCTCAGAATATTCAAGAAACGCCTGTTCATAATGGGAAAGTACACATCAACCTAGCCGATGTCTCTATGAATCTTTATCCTGGATCTAGTTCATATCCTGAAGAACATACTAGACCTTATTGAAGAAGCTAAGAAAGACCAAAATAAGTAATTAGAGGAAAAATGGAAACAATTAGAAAGCAAAGTCAGAGCTATGAAAGAAGATACCAGTGTGTATGGACTCCACGCTAAAGAATTAAGTCTAGTTCCTGATTTGGTCTTACCTCCGAAGTTCAAGATTCCTGACTTTGAGAAATTTGACTATAACATGTGTCCATATGCTCATATTACAATGTTTTATAGGAAGATGACTGGATACATAGGGGATGATCAATTATTGATACGATACTTCCAGGAAAGCTTAACGAGTTTAGCAATCCGATGGTATAATCAACTAAGTATAGCTAATATTTGGTCATGGAAAGACCTGGATAAATCCTTTCTTGAGTAGTATAAACATGTGATAGATGTTAGGCCTAACAGAATGATATTACAAGGCATGGGAAAGAAGTCTAACGAGAGTTTTAGACAATATGCTCAAAGATGGAGGGACGTGGTTGTGCAAGTCCATACACCATTAGAAGAGGAGGAAACAAATATGCTTTTCATCAATACCTTAAGCGCTCCTTTTTTCACACACCTTATAGTTAATCCTTATCAAAGTTTTACTGATATGGTTATGGCTGGAGAAATGATTGAAATGGTAGTAAAAAATGGAAAGCTCGAGGAAGGGGAGTCAAATAAGGAATCACAGATGAAGAAAAAGGAAAATGAAGTCAACAATGTGAGGCAATATGGCTTTAATAATATCATTGTATCCTGACCTCAGGGAACAGGGTCATCAACACAAAATACCAATAGACAAGGGGTAAGGGAATATAGAGAGAGGCCTCAATTTGATCTGATCCTGATCACTTATAAGGAACTTTTTCAGATATTGTATGACCAACATGTAGTTTCACCTTATTATATGTCACCACTGCAACCTCCTTATCCGAAATGGTATGATGCTCATGCTCAATGTGAGTACCATGCGGGAACTCCCAGACATTCTGTTGAGAATTGTACTTCATTTAAAAAGGTTGTCCAACACCTAAGAAGGAAGAATATCATTAATTTTTGTGATAGTGAACAACCGAATATAGCCCAGAATCCGTTGCCAAAACATGTAGGAGCAGGGATTAACGTAATTACAGAGGAGAAAGGGAGGAAAATTATAAAGAATGTTAGGGAGGTCGAATCGTCCATGTATTGGGTACGGTGCCAAATGATTAAGGTAAGATTGTTGAGGCCCAATCCATCATCTGAACTATTTAATAGTGAAGAGATATGCCACTATCATAACTGTGAGGGACACAATATACAACGGTGTCATGATTTCTTAGAGCTGGTAAAAGAAATGATAGATAATAAAAAAATTGAGTTCTTTAAAGAAGTGGTTGAAGAAGAGAAAACAGAAATTTGTGCTTCTGAGGGATCGTCCAAAGGGGTCTATAATGCTAGTTGTCCCCTAATCATTACTCCAAAGTCTCGAGTGACAGAAAGGGTAGCTTCGAAGGTGGTTATTACACCTCCATCTCTATTCCCATATCGAGATAATAAACAAGTACCATGGAGGTATGTTTGTTAGATGGGAGAGGAAACAAAAGAAAGTGAAGAAATAGGTGAGGTGGAACACTTTACTAGAAGTGGCAAGTGTTATTCTCTTAACCAACCTAAAGAGCCTGAGAAGATGGTTACTGTTAATAAGGGGAAGATGGTGGATTTGCAGCTAAAGGAATATGATCCCGTCATTAATGAACCTGTAACTGAGAATGAAGCAGTGGAATTCCTAAAATTCCTGAAACACAATGAGTACAATATTTTTGAGCAGCTACACAAGTTGTCTGCTCGTATCTCTGACTTATCACTTCTTTTGAGTTCAGAGGCCCATCGAAATGCCTTGTTAAGATTTTTGAACCAGACTTTTGTTCCGAAGGAGTTGCCCATAGAAAAGTTGGACCAATTAGTTGTTAACATACAAGCTGCTAACTTTCTCTCTTTTTTCGAGGATGAGATACCTTCGGGGATGATCAGTAGTCATAAGACTTTACGCATCGCAGTTAGATGCAAAGGGCACGTTCTGTCCATAGTAGTGGTTGACAATGGCTCTGCTCTAAACGTAATGCCATTGGTGACTCTAAAGAAGATGCCAGTTGACAATACACACTACTAGAAAAAACCCCTTTAATGACGTGAATTACGCGTCATCTATGGATGCAGATGACACACAAATTCGCGTCATTGAAGCCACCGACATAAATATCAGATGACGCGCAATTGTGTGTCATAAATCTATGACGCGCATTTATGACACACATTTATGACGTGCATTTATGATGCGCATTGAGCATTATTGAAGCCCCCGTCATAAATGAAGATGACACACATTTGTATGACTTACATTCGTGTGTCGTGATTGTATTTCGTAAATTACATATATATATATATATATATATATATTGTAGATTGACAAATAATCAAACTAAATCATATTTAATGCCTAATAATACTAAATATATATATATATATATATATATATATATATATATATATATATATATATATATTATATATAAGCAATCCATTTGTACACATGACACCCATAAAAAATGTTTCCACTGGCACTGTAATATTGCAAACATAAATAATAGTCATTACAATTATAGAGTGATTTTGTTGGATGTAATCAAATAATGCACTTTGTTTCCACATACTTAGCATCTGGATAAAAGCCGCATATATGTGTAAATAGGCAGTGTTGCCAAACCTGTATTGACAAAAAAATTTGAGGATGCTTAGAATATGCAAAAACAATATCAGCAAAAGGTAAGAAAAATAAAACAAAGATGTCAAAATTTTGCACAACCAATACATAATAAGCTCCATATCGTATAAATAATTTGCAGCCTATAGCATAAACCTTTTGGCAACTCAACAGCTTAAATGCATTTAAAATTTAATTTTCATTAAAAGTATAAGAAAAACAAATTAGTGATATCAGAACCAGTTTCAGGGCAATACATTAAGATATGAAAACACGGAGCAAGACAAATGGCAGTAATTAAACAAACTAGGATCCTACTTAATTAAGAAATTCATTATGCAGAGAAGACAACTTGACCACTCTGCGAAACCCCTTTAACCTTAGTTCAAGTTTAAGAAACAAAATAAAACATAAAACAATACATGTAGAAGGTACTAGAATGACCAATTTTACATATGCATTCTTTGAAGCATATGTAAAAATAAATTTTACACATTTAATAGTAAAAATTCCCATATAAATTATATACATTATCACGGTATGACTAATGTGTATGTATGATATGACAGATGTGTATCAGAAAAGTTTTATTACATTCTTATTGCCACATATGATATGATAGTTGTATGACTAATGTGTATGTATGATATAAAATGACTATTGTTTTTTTTCTTTTTTTGTTTCGGTAAAAGCCAGAACAAAACAAAACAACACAATGTGAACTAGACAAGCTTACCTTATTCAACTTAGAAGGGAGCCTCAACCAATTCATTCTAAACATCTGCACTTCCATTTGAGGTATCTTTGACATCATCTTCCATTGAAAGTCTAATATATTCTCTATGTGCAAATCGGTCCCACACTGTCAATGTATGGTTCTCACGCTCCTGTTTGTTTTGATACAAACAATGTTGTTATCCGAAACTTGCATAGAAGTATGATGATTTACAATTTCTAGTAATGGTAATGTTAAAGGAGCTAACATAACACATTTACCTGACGAATTAGGAATGGATCACGAGTCTCAAAGGCCATGAATTTGTTAAGATTAAAAAGGATGTTGAAAACACTTCCATAAAGTTTAGAGCCTTTCAGATCACGCAATGTGACATAGCTCTCATCCTGCAAATGTGACATACAATGTTAGTTTGGAGTTAGTTTGGAAGCAATTCATACAATGTTCAAATACCTTGGATATTGTAAAAGGAGGGGTAAATATCGAAAAATTGAAAAAGCATCCAAAAAAAAATGAGACAACAACCGAATGTATCAAACAGATAAAAAACAAACCATATCTTCCCTGAAACTTAGGTGTACTCTGTAAGAATTCCAACCCTGGATGAGTTACCAATAGTTCACGGAGGATAGGTTTGAAGTCAACCTGTCAAATTGGAAAGTACAGAAGAAATTAAGTTTAAACATATACTATTAGACTATAGACAAATAATGTTGTTGTTTAAGCTCTCAAAAATGCATAAAGACCTGAGTGAGGTATTTGAGATCTGGTTGCCTTTAATATTGTATATACTTGGGTTGTTATATCCATGGTCAACATATTTCCATTGACCCAATAATCAATAAATGCATCTCTGCAAGGAGTTTAGAGAAAAATTCAGTAAAAACTACAGTACAAATGGAAGAAAATAATATCATAGCTGAAAAGCAATTAGAAGGAGAAGCAATACCGAATTAGGAGTCAGATTCTGAAATGACAATTTTATATTTATAGCACACAATACTTTTAAAAGGCTCAACAAGGAGAGAACCAAATTCTCATAATTTACAAATAAATATCTTAGTAGCTAAAAGAATATGATTCATTTGAGATATAAATATAGCAGTTCCATTTCCATGAACAAGAAACTATACCTTGTAACCACACCAGTGCTATTAACATCAATTTTTTCTGAAAAGTGATGGGGAGAAAAATGTAGGCAATTTGCAGATTTCTTTGGTCACTAGTTTGAATTCTGAAAACGTATAGAAAGTAGAAAATGAATATACTACGAGTTCCAGAAATATGTGTTAAAGCACATGCATTTATCTTACCAAGAAGCTGTAGCCCATCTGGATGTCCATAGAAGAACTGACTGATTCGAAACATGCATTGTTCTTTTAGATCATTTGGAGGGGGACCACCATTTTTGAAGTAAAACTAGAGGTGCTCTCAAGTACAAATGTAACAAGTTATAGCTGATTTTGGAATAGAAAGGAAAATAAAGCAGATAAAACACAACCAAGTAACCAAGAAAAGAAAAATATAATATCAAATAAACAAGATCCAAACCTGAGGTATGAACTCTTTCACAGGCTCGCTAACTACTTTCAGTGGAGAACCTAAGTTTGAAGGACCAGCCCTTTGTTTTGTTACTCGAGGAGAACCAGATACACTTCTTGGTGAAAGGGGAGGATCACTACAAGTAGGAAATAAGGAAGGTAGAGCATTGCTTATTGTTGTACTTCCAGAGGAAACATTACCAAGAACAGTCAAGGGATTACATGCCTTAGCATCATTAACCAGTGATTTCACCTTGCAAAGTAAAAAATTAAACAAAAATCAACTCTTCTCCTAGGCTCAAAGGACATTTTAATAAATCACATGAATTCAAATATTTTGCTTCAAAGACAGGGTAAACATTCCATATATAAATACAAAAGAGACAATTGGCTTTCTCTCATTCAAGAATATACAGAAAACTATTCTTGAATATTGTTACAACTGTTAAGCCTCCAACATATAATCAATTTGCACATAGCATTACTGAACAAAGATATATGGAAAATCAACAATCGTCGTTCAAATATTCCTTTCACATCAAGGTAATCCACTAAATTTACCTAATCCTTCAATCCATTTGGAAATTAGAATTTGAAAATTTGGACTTGGATTTCGTTTGCTATGTAAATGATAATAATCAAATGCATATACCGTGGATAGACAATTAAGAGTCAATATAATACATGGATGAAAAGTATAAAAATATGAATTGATTAAATCCAAAAATAAATTAGAAATTCCAAAGTCATTATTATATAGACGTCTAACAAATCCATAGATTTGAGAAATAATCATCAATGTTACATTTCCAAGTATTTGTATTACTCAATTTACAATATCTTTGAAACCCAAATTCTAAAATCTAGTTCCCAAAAGCTACCTAAATTTAGTCTTTATATATGGTTCACATAAATATCTACAATGAACTAAATAAACCATGAAGAATCAAAATAACGTGTCATCAAATAGTTTCATTATCATACGCTTAAATTAAGTTTCTTTTTTCTTCAGAAATGATATACCACCAAATAATCGAGCAAAGAACTGACTAGAAAAATGCAAAGGAAATAACGATAAATCATTTTCAATTCAAGATATAAAGAAAAAGTACCAGCTTGTAAGCATCGGGAAGCGAAAGCCACTGCTCAAAAAGATTTTGCGTGAATTCGGGATTGGATTTGAGAACAAAAGGAGACATCTCCAGGAGCTACAATAGATCCGGATCCAAACACGCTACGTCTCCAACAGCAACTGACTCCATCTTCTTTTCTTCGCATAACCAAACGCAGCTTAAACAAAGTCTATGCGCAGATCAAATGTAATGAGCTTTAAAAGAATACAACCAATATATATGAGCTCAGAAACTTACTTATAGTAAGTAATTAAAAATGTGAACAAGGAAATTCGATTTTTAGCTGGGAAACAATTGGAAACCCTAGATCTCCATGAAAACAGGAAAACCGAGCTTGGCAATTTTTCTTTCTTTTTTCTTTTTTACCGTTAGCAAGTGTGTTATTTGGGATGAAATAAAGTGGTTTACAATTGA